TTTTTCAATTCACTTAGCTGGATTCTTCATATCTGCCGACCTGCTTAAAATGCAGGACATTCGCTTGTCGTCCTATTAATTTGGTAAACAACACTAATGCCGACTAGGACTTCCCTGGCAGTGGCAATGGCCATGTGAGAGTATTTCGACAGGGAGAGCTGACTCTTCCTTTTTCTTGGTCGTGCTATTGCATTTGGGGGTTTATTTATTGATATCGATTGAAGATCCATTAGACAATGACGAATATATTCTTCTACAATCTAACTCGATGAATGTCAGTAACAATCATTAGCTGGTTCCAACTTGACTATTGAATGTAATGTGGTTAAAACATAAACAAGGAGGTTCCAATGCAGACGTAAAGGCGAGGATCGGCAAAGTAAGGACAGAATTTCTACAATTGAAGAACGTATGGAACTCAAAACAACTGTCTATCAACCAATATCAAAGTCAGAATCTTCAATACGAACGTCAAGGCAGTTCTACTGTACGGAGCTGAAACTTGGAGAACTACAACAACCATCATCAAGAAGGTACAGGTATTTATCAATAACTGTCTACGCAAGATACTCAACATCCATTGGCTGGATACCATCAGCAACAGCCTTTTGTGGGAGAGAACCAACCAGCTTCCAGTTGAAGAGGAAATTAGGAAAAGGCGATGGAAATGGATAGCACATACATTGAGGAAATCATCAAACTACACCACGAGACAAGGGTTAACTTGAAATCCTGAAGGGATGTGGAAAAGAGGAAGGTCAAAGAACACATGAGGTCGGGAAATAGAATCAGATATGAAAAGGATGAATAAGAACTTGACAGAGCTTGAAAGGATTGTTCAGGAAAGGGTTGGATAGAGAATGCTGTTGGGCGGCCTATGTTTCTTCATGAAGAGTAACAAGCATAAGTAAGTAAGTACCTTTCATAATGAATGTATTTAGTTAAAATCTACAGGATGTACGAAATCCTTTAGGATGGCAAACGTGTTATACTGATCAATGCCAATTAATACAATAGCTGGTACATATACGGACTCATTTTTGTTGTTGTTGTTGTTGTTGTTGCTGTTGATGATGATGATGATGATTTGGATGATGATGATGATGATGATGATTTGGATGATAATGATGATGATTTGGATGATGATGATGATGATTTGGATGATGATGATGATGATTTGGATGATGATGATGATGATGATGATGATGATGATGATGATGATGATGATGATGATGATGATGATGATGATGATTGGATGATGATGATGATGATTTGGATGATGATGATGATGCTTCGGATGTTGATGATGATGATGATGATGATGATGATGATGATGATGATGATGATGATGATGATGATGATGATGATGATGATGATTTGGATGATGATGATGATGATGATGATGATGATGATGATGATGATGATGATGATGATGATGATTTGGATGATGATGATGATGATTATGATGATGATGATTTGGATGATGATGATGATGATGATGATGATGATGATGATGATGATGATGATGATGATGATTTGGATGATGATGATGATGATGATGATGATGATGATGATGATGATGATGATGATGATGATGATGATGATTTGGATGATGATGATGATGATGATGATGATGATGATTTGGATGATGATGATGATGATTATGATGATGATGATGATGATGATGATGATGATGATGATGATGATGATTTGGATGATGATGATGATGATGATGATGATGATGATGATGATGATGATGATGATGATGATGATGATGATGATGATGATGATTTGGATGATGATGATTGGGATGATGATGATGATGATGATGATGATGATGATGATGATGATGATGATGATGATGATGATGATGATGATGATGATGATGATGATGATGATGATGATGATGATGATGATGATGATGATGATGATGATGATGATGATGATGGAATTACATTCACTGAACTGGATGGTTTAATTCCATGTCTTTGATTATCATTTTGGACAATAAAATCAATATGATATTGTCTAAGACGTTAATGAAGGTTTCTTGAATTAAACCATCCAGATGATCAAATCGAATATCAACAAAATGATCCATTTCATTCCTAAAACATTTTTTGAGGTGTCATGACAACTAGATTGAAATAATGAACTTTAGAACTTAGTAACCAACATACTCTAGATGATAATCTTTAATTTCATTTAGAATTTATCAATCAAATTAGTTGAACCGAACAGTACTGGGTTCGAGTCCCAGAGTGAACATCAACAAGTCTGAGATGCAGGTAGGTACATTCAGTTTGATGAGTCCCAAATAGGATGAAACGGGTGTTGTGGATTCCAATGCTAACCACTATCCATCTATCTTTGCTTATAATACGATACATATATTACTATTGTATAATTATTTAGTAACTAGGTCTGTTTGATTGGTATTATAAACCCAGTATCTTTGAAATACATGATTCATATCTCAGAGGCTAAGATTGGTATTGTGGACATAACAGGCAGAGCTAAGTGGGAAGTAGGACAGATAACCACACTAGACTACTTGTACTTGTTTTATGCATCATTGGTTCGATCGATAAATCACTATTCTGTAATTATCCGAAAGGGTTTTGTGGAGATTGTAGTAATTTCAATGGTTAAGATGATGAGTCAATTGAAGCTAGACACCACCATGAAAAACCTGGAAGCATTGGACGGCTGTATCATCCTATTGTGAAACTTCTCAGCAATGCGCATCCACGACCTCACCCCCTGCGAGACTCATCATCTTAACCATTGAAATTACTAAAATCTCCATAAAAGCCCTTCTGATATGAAACAACATATACTGACTAGTAACTGGCTTCAAAAGGTATATCCTGGAGTTCTAGTAAGAAGTAGTGACCAGTGGAGTTCAACTAGGTCTGTTGTGAGATAGTAACACACTGAAGACAATGGTAGATGTGTCACTTAATTTCGTGGATTAGTTGAAGTTAGACATGAACACCGTTGGATACCGGCCAGCGTAGTGGTCTGACAATTAAAACCGATAGGTCCTGGTTTTCAATCTCACAGGGGGGTGAGGTCTTGGATACGCACTACCAAGGAGAAGTCCCACAGTAGGACGAAACGGCCGTCCAGTACTTCCAGGTTTTCCATGGTGGTGATCTAGTTTCAACTAACTCATGATCTTAACCATTGATATTCTCTCATTGATAATATCATTATCATTAAGTGGTGAAATCATTCATTTATTGATTATTTAAGTTTCCTCTTTTATTTTTTTTGTTGTAGATCGTTCATTAATCAATAATCAATAAATTGATTTGTATGGGATATACTTTGATTGTTTATCTCTTTGAGTTTGTTTGTTTATTTTTCTTTCTATTTTAATCAAATGATTATTGATCAATAACCATAAGAGTAAATGAACATGAAGAGAATGAATTCAATAATGTTATTAACCTCATTAAAAGAAGTGAATCAATAGAATCCTCATTGATAGATAGTAATCATTTGTTAGTGATATGTACCCCTTCGCAAATGTCCTGGTATGATCGAGAGTTGAGAGAGCTTGCCCTCCTTCTTGAAATACTCTCACATGATTATGCGTATACAGTCACTTCTGCCAGGGAAGTCCTATTCATTGCTTTCTCGTGGTGGTGATGGTGGTGGTGGTGGTGGTGGTGGGGTGTTGTTTACAAAAATGAAAGGATGAAAAGCGAATTTCCGGCGCTTTAACCGGATCTCAAAACAATGGTTTACATGGGCTACAGTATCTTGTGGGAACAAATGATGTATGAATCAACTGTTGCTCACTGGTTATCATAGGATTGCATCTCCTTACGATGCTCCACTGCCTTATGGGTTAGACCCTTAGGTTGAAAGCTCGGGCTCCCTAAGAAAAACAAGCTGTTTCGACTTAAGCATCCATGTAGTATCATAGCCCACAAACAAATAGAGTGAAATTTTTGTGGCGAATATATATTTGGTGCCCCCTTTATACTAATATTTATGTTTATCAGAAGGGATTGTGTGGATATTTTAGAAATTTCACTGGTTAAAATCATGAGTCCATTGAAGCTAGACACCACCATGGAAAACCTGGAAGTACTGGACGTCCGTTTCGTCTTATTATGGCACTCCTCCTCAACAGTGCACATCCACCATCCCGCTCCTCGCGAGATTCGAACCCAGGACCTATATTTATGTGTTCAAACAATTAAATAAATAAATAAATATTGTGATGTGAGCTACTTATATACACATAAAGTAGTATATAACGGTAATCAGGAATACAATGTATTTCAATTGAAGATCGAGAAAGAACGAGAACAGAAAGTGATTGGTATAAAACTATATGAACAATGAAATCTTTGATGATGAACTGATATTTGCAAAAGAAACAGTCAAGTTTGAGACAATCGATTGATATATTTCTTAGATTTTAGTGAGATCTTCTGTAATTTCATGACCAAATATATTTGGTTGTCCTCATCTATGTTCTCCTTCACTAGGGTATCATCAATCGATAGTGAAATGTTTGGTTGTAAAAGGTTAAGAAGATCAAATAGTAGAGAATGAGAACAGTTCCCATGATACAAAAAATCGCGTACCAATTTATGCAAAATGATTCAACCGAGGACACTTTGAAACTGGTAATTTAAAAAAAAAAGCCGTAATATACTGTGAGATTACCTAAGAGAGATAAATTATGAGATAGGCTCAGGATATTTCTAAAACATGCACCACAAAAGTTTAGTTAGCTTAATTTAACTACTGATTTCATTTTAAGTAGCTTAAATATAAACACATAAAATAAACTTCACGTTTTATACTATCAAGTGTTGAGGTGATTCAGCATAGTATATTTCAACAGACCCAACATTTTATTCATCACTCAATATAACCAAATCCTTATGAATAAAGAGAATTCATTAATGTTTAATGTTCGATTTTGTTATTTGAATAGTAGTGTTTAATTCTGTTAATCAAATAAAATAACTCACTTTTCGGTCTGTTATAACTTTTACATAACGATTGATGACCATTATATGTTCCGGAACAATGTCCTGTTGAAAAAAAAAATCAAAAACAAATCAATTAGCAAATCAATAAAACAATAAATTGGATTCTTTGAAGGATGAATAGAGATGAATAGAGATGACTTTTAATCTTAATTGTTATAAGCTGAAGAAATAAGTAAACAGACAATGAATGATAGATTAATCAGAAAGGGTTTTGTGGAAGATTGTAGTAAGTTTAATGGTTAAGATGATGAGTCATTTGAAGCTAGACACTACTATGAAAAACCTGGAAGTACTGGACGGCTGTTTGAAAGACAATGATTAATTCATGGTTAAACAATCCAGTTCAGAGAATGCAACACCATTATTGGGTTTTTCGAAGTATAGAGGTCTATGATAGATGAACACTGATGGTAATGAAAGCATCTTAACAAACAATATCATAAGAGATTGCGTATTTGTTATGTAACTAAACTATTCATATTCAGGTTCCTACTATGATAAGCTTTATTTTGACTCATAGACTATTATTGTACGATTTACCATTCTTGAATTATACCCAGTCTATTAATGACAGTCTCCCAATATTCACAGTCACTTATAGCTAGATCTTGTACAAATGTGTATTTTTATCAGAAGGGGTTGTGTAGAGATTTCAGAAGTTTCACTGGTTAAAATCATGAGTCAATTGAAGCTAGACACTACCATGAAAAACCTGGAAGCACTGGACAGCCGTTTCATTCTAGTATGGAACTCCTTAGCAGTGGAGTTCAACCAGTTCTGTTGTGAGATATCAGGTCACTGAAGACAATGGTGTACGGTGGCACAACTCCGTGGATTGGTTGAAGTTAGACATTAACATCGTTGGATGCCGGTTGGCTCAGTGGTCTAGTTGGTTAAGCGCCTGGCGCGAGACTGATAGGTCCTGGGTTCGAATCTCGCGAGGAGCGGGATCGTGGATGCGCACTGCTGAGGAGTCCCATACTAGGACGAAACGGCCGTCCAGTGCTTTCAGGTTTTCCATGGTGATGTCTAGCTTCAATGGATTCATGATTTCAACCAGTGAAATTTCTAAAATCTCCACACAATCCCTTCTGATAATAATAATCATCTGCTCACTAGTGACTGACTTCAAGAGATACTCCTGAAGTTCTAGTGAGAAGCCGTTACCAGTGGAGTTCAACCAGTTCTGTTGTGAGATATCAGGTCACTGAAGACAATGGTGTACAGTGGCACAACTTCGTGGATTGGTTAAAGTTAGACATTAACACCGTTAGATGCCGGCTGGCTCAATGGTCTAGTTGGTTGGTTGCTAGACACTATCCATCTTTGTTTATAATTCTTCGATAACTATTAACGAACAACATGAAATAGTGATACAATGTTTTCTATCCATTGTTGCTAATCACTTAAGGTTCAAATTCACTTTGCTAATAAAGTTCTATAAAATAGATCCATTTTGATAAGTAATAACATTGTTGTGGAGTCCGTTGAGTTTATCTGCAGCGATGGGCTCACCACTTTTTGTGGAGGACCGTTTATTTTGTTGTCATTTAGATTGGATAATGTTATCGAATGGCTCTTCAGTTTAGTGGCCCATAATCTGACCCTAAGGAGATATAAGCATACAACAATAGGCTACAGACATGTAATAAGTAATGGGATAAGAACATATTGGTGAGTAATCTAACTCCTCTTATATAAAAACAATCAAGATATTGATAAGTGAATCATGAACAAGGTTAGAATGTGATTCAATTAGAATGAATAGATTGAACTGTCCAAAAGTCAAGAATAACGTTCTATGGGTTTAACATAATAACAGACACTACAATATGTCAGATTATATTTGATTATCATCAGAGAAACAACCCAAAGCTAAATGATAATCAATAAAAGGAGTTGATTTGAAATGAGATATCTAACTGAATCTACACCATTTCGTTGTACTATGAGACTCCTGTGATGAAGATCGTAAATGCACACTGCTGAGGAGTCTAATAGTGAGTTGAAACGATCATTCATTGCCTACAGGTTCCTACAGAAAAAAAAGTGCCCATAAAATGCCCTGGTACGGCTGAGAGTGGGGAGAGTCCGCTCTCTCTCTCTCTCTCTCGAAATGCTCTCACATGGCCACGCGTACAAAGCCCCTGCCAGGGAAGTCCTACTCACTGCCTTCACGTGGCGGGGGTGTTGTTTACGAAAATGAGAGGACGAAAAGCGAATGTTCGGCACCGGCTTTAACCGGACCCCAAACCAAAGCAATGGTGCACATGGGCTCCAGTATCCTGCGGAAACAAATGGCGTATGAACCAATTGTTGGTCACCGGCTACCACAGGACTGCATCTCCTTACGATGCTCCACTGCCTTGTGGATCAGACGTTCAGGTCAAAGGCTCGGGGTGTGGCCCCCTAAGAAAACCACCTGGTTCGGTTTGGGCACCCGGTCAGTATCACAGCCCTCACACAAATCAATTGAGATTCGTGTGGCGCATATGTACTTGGTGCTTCCCTGTACCTATACTTATGTGTTAAAATAAAATAATAAAGAAATCTTCGAATGATGATTTTATACTTGGGAAGATCACTTTATGATATTGTGATATTCAAAGTTAAATGGATAACACTATCAGAGACTATTCGATAAAGTAAGCTATGAATGACTAGATATTGATTTGTTCAACAGTAAAGATCAACATAAAATATTGATGTTGTTTTATTTTTATCTTCTCATTGTTATTTAAGACTGTCATTGATCAGTCTTGTGTTGATATATATGCTTCTTGTATGGATTGACTTGATATAGCTTTAAGTTATAAGCTTAATAGGCAAAGATAGATAGTGGTTAACAGTGGAATCTACGATGCACGTTTCATTCTATTTAGGACTGGTCAGTTGAATGTATCAGTATCTTAGAGTTGATGATCACTCTAGAACTCGAGCCTAGTACCGTTTGCTTACAAATATCATCGTGTTATCCTGATAGCTACCTGCTTGTGCAATGAGAGTTAGTTTTCTACGGGATGAGGTCACTAACCCCATGCTCAACTCTCCTCCTTTATCCGGGCATGGAACCGATAGTAACTTTAGAAGAGCTACAGGCGGAACCTTTTGTGGGAAAAAACAAACCAACTTCCAGTTGAAGAGGAAATTAACAAAAGACAATCAAAATGGATAGAACATACATTACAAAAATCATCAAACTGTATCATGAGGCAAGCGCCAACTGGGAATCCTGAAGGAAGACGGAAAAAAAAGGAAGGTCAAAGAACATATTACGTTGAGAAATAGAAGCAAATATGAAAAGGATGAATGCCAACTGGAAATAGCTTCAAATGGATTATCCAGGACAGGGTTGGATGGTAACTACTGGTGAGTGACCTATACTCCTTCACGAAGAGTAACAGGCGTAAGTAAGCAAGTAAGTAAGTAAGTATATAAGTAAGAACTCTTTTAAGTCAATAGAAATCTATGTGCTTTAGGATTATCAGCAATAAATTGAATGACAAGTATTCAAATATGAAAAACACGTTTTCGAACAAGGAACTCAAACCATACATATTCGGTGTATCTACTGTAACATGTAAATAGTAAATTATCTCATTAGACTATCATTCTAAGACGTAATTCAATGTCAATCATCAACCTTTTAAACAATCAATTTCAGTTGACAATATAATGAAAGTGCTTAAATTTGGAAAAGTGTTTACTAAAGGATTGTAACATTTTATATTCCTGAACTAAATATAATCATTACCCCCAAAATGCTCTGGTACGGATGACAATGGGGACAGTCAGATCTTATTCACGAAATGCTCTCATATGGTCACGTGTATATAGCCTCTACCAGGGGGGGGGCGGGGTTATCGTTTACAAAATTGAGAGGATGAAAAGCGAATGTCTGGCACTCTAACCGGGTTAGTGAATATGGATGATTCACCGAGGGGAGTTGAAAAATTCTGTTTCCATACTAATGATTAATATGGATTCTAGGTTCCTGAAGGAACAAATGGCAAATAAACTAATAATTGGTGACCAGGGATTATGGGATAGCATCTCCTTACGTTGTTCCACTGCGTTTTGGATTAGAATGTTACCCCTTAAGAAAATCATCTGCTTCGGTTTTTGCATTCAGGCAGTATCACAATCCTTGTTTGATTTTCTTGTGGCCCATATATATCTGATGCGCTCTTGTACCAATATCTTTATTTAGAATGGAACTATGACATTTATGGTGGTCGACTGGATTATGAAGACCTCGACATCTGAGAGAAACTACGGCATACGATGGACATCTCAGAACCAATTAGACGACTTGGACTTCGCAGATGACCTAGCCATCTTATCACATACACACGAACAAATGCAGATAAAGACAGCCAGCATAGGAGCAGTGTCTGAATCAGTAGGCCTCAACATACACAATGGGGGAAAACCAAGGTCCTCAAACACAACACGGAGAACAGCAATCCAATCACTCTTGATGGCGAAACTCTGGAAGACGTGGAATCCTTCACATATCCGGGAAGTATCGTCCATAAACAAGGAGGTTCAGATGCAGACGTAAAGGAGAGGATTGGCAAAGCTAGAGCGGCATTCCTTCAACTGAAGAACATATGGAACTCAAATTAACTTTCAATCAATATCAAAGTCAGAATCTTCAATACGAACGTCAAGACAATTGTACTGTACGGAGCTGAAACTTGGAGAACTACAACAACCACCATCAAGAAGGTACAGGTATTTATCAATAGCTGTCTACGCATGATACTCAACATCCATTGATCGGATACCATCAGCAACAGCCTTTTGTGGGAGAGAACCAACCAGCTTCTAGCTGAAGAGGAAATTAGGAAAAGACGATGGAAATGGATAGGACATACATTGAGGAAATCATCAAACTGCATTACGAGACAAGTACTAACTTGGAATCCTGAACGGAAGCGGAAAAGAGGAAGGCCAAAGAACATATTACGTCGGGAAATAGAAGCAGATATGAAAAAGATGAATAAGAACTGGAAAGAGCTTGAAAGGATTGCCCAGGA